TGCTTCGCTTAGCGATGACAGTTTAGGTCCCCCTGTTTCGCTTAGCGATGTTTTTGACAGCTCCATTTTTGCTATTTTTAAAAGGTGTTAAATTGTTTAAAAAGGGTTTAGAGTGCTTGAAATCGTTAGTGCACTTAATAAACCCTTTGTTAACCAAATTTGGCTTCGTTCTGACTCTTTGAATTTTTGGTGATTTTTTTCTCCCCCATTGAAATGCATTGAAAAGGTTTCAATGCATTCCAATGGGGGAACCGCATTTCGCTTAGCGATGTTTCCTATGGCGATTTTCGCTTAAGGACGGTAATCCATTACCATTGGAACAGATTATCCAGTTTTCAATGCATCTCTATGGGAAAATGCATTTCGTTTAGCGATGTTTTCCCATAGCGATGGTTTTTTTGGCACCAATTAAAATCGTTAAGCGAGGCACCACTATATTTCCCATTACAACATTAATAAGCATAGCACAGGAAGCGCTACTGTAGATACAGAAGTATGTTACAAATTGTAGCTTTTACATGCTTTCCTCTTTCAGCATTTCACTTTGAAGTAAAACTCAGTATAGTGTTGAAAGTGGGTAACACAAGTTATAGTTTATCTCATGTCCATGTCCTAAATGTTTCATTACTGTGGAAGTAGAGTCCCTTTGATTTCACTGAAATTTGCATTCAATTCTGTGAATTTAAGACTGTAGCCTATGAAAAATTTGAGTGATCAGCCAAGAGGTGATATAGGTATTCCACACCACTAAATCCCTTGCAGATATTGTGAATTATAGTAGATCTATATATAGACTACTGGTTATCTAGTGTGGTGTAGTGGATAGAGTGATGGACTGGGACTCTGGAGAACAAGGTTGAAATTCTTGCTCAGCCATAGAAACTGACTAGGAGAAGTAGAACTAGTAAAACCACTCCCTAAGTATCTCACTTACCTTGAAAGCCCTGTAAGGGTCGCTATAAGTCGGCTCCAACAACAAAAGTATAAACTTGGACTTACATTTTTTATTTTTTAGCCAGTTATTGTGAACAGGTTAGGTGTTATCAGTATTTTTGAATGGAAGTATTAACACCAAAACAAGGTTAATAGACGATACATTCTTGCAGTATAAGGTTTTAACACTTGAGTTAATGACTTTTTCATTTTGAATTACAGTACTTATTTAACAACACATACAAGTTTTTTTAAGCCAGATTATACTTCAAGGGATGCTTTCAACCCTGAAGACTATTTCATATGGATTTTAAACATTGTGGTAGCTTTAGTCAGTACAGTATGCGTTTGGGATAAGCCGGTCACCTGATTGCTGAGTGTGGGTAGAAATTGCTACCTCCCTAGTCCCTGATGCTCTAGGATAGAAGAGCTGCAACAAATGCTCTGTTGTGGACTCTGGGTTTCATCTTTTCCTTCATACATTTCCTTAACATGCACCTAACGTAATTCCCCAGATGTGAGGCAGTATCGATGGTGGCTGGAGTGTGAGGATGACACTGTTTCTCTGTTGAGGCAGAGATGGTTGAACTCTGCTTGTATAATAGTTTGCATCTCTTCATTAAACGACATGACTTTTTCATGTGACCTACATTTCATGGTTGCAAATGTAGGTCATAATGGGCACTACAGTATGCATTTTGGTAGTAGAGTGATTTTACGATTTCATTGTTACTGTAAGCTACTTGTAACTTCAGGCCTTCATTTATATTTATATTTTTATTCAAACAATTTTAATTTGTAATAAAAGGAAGATACTGTATATGTCAGTGTAACAACAGTATTTTATAGTGATGCTCTTTGTATTTTCTGAACTATAAATGTGTTTTTGTAGCTGATTCCTGTATACTTGCTACAGGAAACTCTGATAAGGATGTATGGTGCTTTAGATCAGAGGTCCCGGTGCAGGTCTGTGGCCTGAGGTGGGATGAGCCACAGAGCGAGATTTTCCTCCCGCACGCACTCTCCCCCATGGCCCGTTTGCACCTGTGCATGCATGTGCCCGCACAAGCACTGCACCTCCCTTTGCTCATGCACACAAGTGCGTGGCCCGCTTCCCCCAGCCAGTACGCAGGGCTAAAAAGCTTGGGGACCGCTGCATTAGATGACCCACTTCTAGTTCAAAGGTTCCTTGCAACTTTTAGTAAATTGAAGTTAATGATAAAAGTTTGTTGCACTAAAGAGTTAGCATTTATTTGTTAGTTTGTTTATTTGGTTTCTATACTAAACCATAAATGAATGCACACTACTCTGGGTGGTTTACAGCAGGGGTCCCCAACTCCCTCTCTGCGTCCTGGTGCCGGTCCGTGACCTTGGCTGGACTGGGCCATCGACACAGGTCTCCCGCCCCACCCACACATCCCCCTGCACAGCCCCTTTGTGCATGCGCGCAAGTGCGCACCCCCCTCATGCATGTGCAAGTGCTTTTCTTTTTTTTTTACATTTAAAGCCCTAAATGTCTTGGGCCCTGGATACCTGAAAGACCGCCTCCTCCGTATGAATCTACCAGGCAACTGACATCTAGCCAGAAGAAAGAGCCCAGTCCCTCAGTGAGGTGAGAGGGATGGCCTGTAGGTGGAGGGCCTTTTCAGCAGCTGCCCCCAGTCTTTGGAATGCGCTCCCAAATGACATTCAACTGGGGCCGAAGTTACTGACATTTCAGCACCAGGTTAAAACCTTGTTGCCAAAGTTTTTAATTGAAGTTTTTTAACTGAAGGTTTTTAATTTTATCTGATAGAATTATGGATCTAGATTGTTTTTGTAGATTGTTTTTGTTTTCTTTTTGGTTTTGTAGATAAGGAACCAATGAAGGTGCACCAAGACTAGGGAAATCTGATGAAATTTGCTAGTCCCAGAAATCAGTCTGGCTGACACATTTTGGGCCTGCTGAAGTTTCTCTACTGTTCTCAAGAGGAGAGAGTGTTGCATTAGTATATTTTTAGATGACCAATGTGTGGACCATTGTTATTAGATATTTCCTGCTCAGGTAGGGGCACAACTGGGAAATCATCCAAAGTTGATAAAAGACTCTCTTGGTTATAGGCAGTGTTTAAACCTCCATAGAGAGGCTCAGGTCCAGGAATACCCCCAAACTGTGGATCCCATCTTTCAGACAGAGTGTAACTCCATCCAGGCCAGGTAAATTTTCCTCTAAGTGGTCTGATGACCCTCCTAAGAGCAACATCTCTCTCATATCTGGATTCAGTTTCAATTTATTGTTTTTTGTCCAATCCATTGTCAACCCCAGGCAGTGCTCAAGGACCTGAATACCATCATCTGCAGATGAAGCAAAAGAGGTAGAGCTGTGTGTCTTCAATGTACTGGTGACAGTGAACTCCAAATCTCTGAAGACTTCTAGCAGCTTCATACAGATGTTAAAAGGCATTGGGGAAATAATCAGCTCTTGTGGAATGCCATAATGGAGGTTTCAAGGGGTTGGTACAAGATCCCCCAGCTGTACCCAATTGGGATTGGCCATCAAGGAAGGACCAGAATCAGTGAAGAGCAGAGTCCCCAATCCTGAAACTTGAGAATGAAAGCTGATTTTGAGGTTATTATGTAGCAGAGTTTTAATTCTTGATCAGCCTTGATTGAGCAATCCAAGCTACTTTCAGAAATGAGTTTCTTTTGTTAGATTTGTCCTATGTATACCTCTGATCGACACTATGCAGGTGTTTGCTAACATCTGTTTCATGCCCTAAGTCACATAAGTACATGCAATTTTGCAAGTAAAGGAAACCTTTTACTAAAGTTGGAATTAAACACAGTAAAATGAAATCTTCAACTGAATATTAACATAATCCTAGTATTTATGAGATAAACATTTTCTGGGGTATTTATTCTCAGGGCTGAACTTTTAAACTGTCTTTGAAAAATCCTTAGAAATGTTTGCCAGACACTGACTGTACCTTATCTTTTGAGTTTTATGGAAATTAATTCCATATTTATATTTGGGTAAATGGTTTAGGCATCTAGCTGTGGAGATAGAAGTTGAGAGTTCAACTCCTCTCTGTGCCTCCTGCAAGTAGAGCCAGTCTGTGTGGCCTTGGGCAAGATGCACAGTTCCAGGATTCCCCCCAGAAGAAGGGAATAGTAAACTACTTTTGAGTGTCCTCTGCCTGAAAAACCATGAAAGGGGTTGCCATATGTCAGAATTGACTTGACGGTACATTATTAATACATTTAAATTGTAATGCGTGAATGTCAACAGTATGAATCAGTTCACATGGCCAATTTCTTAAAGTATTTTCAGGATTAGGAATTCCTATTTTATAAAATTGTTGAAAAGTAAGATTGTAGGGCTGCTAATTTTGCTTCAAATAAAGAATTTTACATTTTTTCAAATTGAACAGTAAACCTGCTCAATGTGTTGTTGGCATTCAGTTAATGAAAAGGTCTGTCATCCACTGGAGTTCTTAACTGTGTGAATGAACTATGACTGTTGCTGCAGAATTTTTACTGATACTAGATATCTTCTTGAGTGAGCAGCTGCCTGTGTTAAGCAATGACTCTTAAAGAAGTAGCAGTGCTTGCTTAACAAAAGTGCTAGGGCTAGGTATTAAGAAAGTGAAAGCTGATTTTGAGGTTACATATAGAGAACTCAGAAAACCGTTGAAATGATCCCTGCTTATGAAAACTTTCTGTTGGTTACACACACACCTCCAGACCACCTCTGAAGGAGTTGCAGCTATGAGGCATTTAGACGAAACCAGCTCCCATATATGCATAAAAGGGAATCTTTTTGAAAGCGTTCCCTTTTCCCATCCATCCCAAAATAATGTAATTGCAGTAACATTGCATTTGGCTGATACAATTGGTCTCTTGCTGACATGTTGATTCCTATGTAAGCAAATTCCAGCCATTGTGAGTGCATTCTAGTTGTTTCCATATTCACCTAGCTATGCTTTATGAGCATAAAACTAGTTTTTGTATATACAGTGTAACTTCCTATAAACATGTGTATGGTGCTAGTGAAATTGTTTTCTTTCCCTTTTCCTCTCTTTTTTTAGGGTGAAGGAGTGTTATAAGACTATATCTCATGGATGGAGTATAGCTCATGGAAGATAAAAACCACATTAGAACATCCTTGGGTTCCAGGTTACCAAAGTATGGAACGAAACCTGCTGGGAATATTCTGCAGACCGTTCCAAATGGAACAGCTCTTAATTTATCAGGGAATACTCAGAGCATTGACAAAAATTTCAGCAAGCACAATGGCGCTGTTACTATGTCTTCCTTCTCTTTTAACTGGCGAAAATCAAGTAAATGCCAACTGGGAGATCAGATCAGTAGTGAATCTAGCACTTGTCACAATTCCAGTGAAAGATTGACTGATTCTGAAAAATGCCCTCAGTCTGAAGGAGCTGTTGGTAAAGACGTGCTAAGGGTGGGTTCAAATAGCGCCTTTTCAAAAAGTACAAAACAAAGCAACATGTTTGTTCCACCTACAGAAGAATTAAACCAAAAGTCTCTGCCCGGGCTGTCTAGTTCAACTAAGTTTACCAAAAGCAATTTATTAGGTAGAACTTCTTATTCTGGACTTAATGTTCCAAAATCACACTTGAATGGAATTTGTGGGAGCCGGTCAACTATAGGCTTCCAGAGGAGTAGAGGAAATGCTACTGCTACCCGGAGCAGCTCAGGGGAGAATCTAGCAAAATCAACAGAAAGTATAAAATCTTGTGAAAAAATGGTTAGGTCGCAAAGCTTTTCACATTCCATTCAAAGCTCTCTCTTGCCCCCTGCATCCCTAACCAGGTCACACTCTTTTAACAGAGCTGTAGATCTTACAAGGCCTTATCAAAATCAACATCTCGCTATTAGAACATCTCAAAGATCAAATCTGTTGTCAAGAAGTGCACGGCAGATGGATATGCCCAATGGTAATGAACCTTTAAGATATGGATTTGCTAGAACATATGCTGCTTTACCACCCTCTGGGTTAAAGAAACATACACTGTCAAATGGTTCTGGAGATGCAACTTCTCTGAGGTTTAGAACAGGCCGTCCTTCATTATTGAAGCCTAGCAGCCAGCAGTTTTGTAGAAAAATCCCTGTAGATGGAAGCATAGGCAAAGAGACTGGAAACTGCATAGTAGAAGACTCCGCATCAACAAATTTTAATGGGAGTAATCATGGGAAAGGTACACAAGAGAACGAAAGAACAAAAGATGGTGAAACTGTACACAACGTTGTAGAAAGTAGCTGTACAATCTGCATGGATGGTGATGTAGATGAAATATCTATATCCTCCTTGTCATCCTCTGAGAAGAATGATCTGAGTGAAGACTTTAGTGATGATTTCATAGATCTAGAAGATCCCAAGAGAACAGTAAAAATCCAAGAAGAGGAAGTTTCTGTTCAAGATCTTGAGCATGAAAATGGAATATCTCTAAATCGAGTTTCATCTCTCAAGGAAAGTGAAAAATCCAACTGTAATGCTGATGAGTGGCTGGATATACATATGTCTGGTAAATGTGCCTAGTTCCCTTTTTCTTTAGATAAGAGCAAAGACTTCTGTTATATTGCCACAATTCTTCTGTTAACTAATAGGATTCTGGCTGCTATTGACTATGCCAGTGGCATAAATCACTTGGTGTAAATCTTAGTGAACTGTTGCAATCCTTTTTCCTAAAAGCATAGTACTCAGGTGCTTATGATTGTCGTATTGAAAAACATGTCAGTATAAAATCAGTGGTCAAATAGTTGGGATAATGTACCCAAAGTTATATTTTTGAAGTCACACTGAATCTAACATGAGTTAAATATATGCTTCATTTGCACCCATGGAAGTCAACAGTGCTTATAGCTGCTTTTCACATATGGAAGAGGCAAGGTTTTATTCCCTAAGGTTGTGAAGTTCCCCACTAAAAAGAATCACACATAAGCTACCATCATTTGAAGTGAACTACAGTGGTGCCTTGCTTAGCGATGTTAATCGGTGCAGCAAAAATCGCTGCTAACCGAAAACATCGCTAAGCGATTTTAAAAAGCCCATAGGAATGCATTGAAACCCCTTCAATGCATTCTTATGGGCTTAAAACTTACCTTTAAGTGAAAATCCTCCATATGGAGGCCATTTTCGCTGCCTGGTGTGCGAGGAATCCATCCCTAAACACTGCGGGCGGCCATGTTTTTTCCAGTGGCCATTTTGGAACCGCCGATCAGCTGTAGGAAAAAGATCGCTATGCGATAATCGCTTACCGATCATCGCAAAGCGATTTTTTCCTATTTAAAATGTCACAATGCGATCACTTTTTCGATCACAAAATCTTCATCGCTAAGCAGTTTCGTCATTAAACGGGGCGCTCATTAAGCGAGGCACCACTGTACCTGATATACCTTAGTTTGTCTTTTTTTGGAAATGCTAAGCCTTTCTGTCAGACCTCTTTCTTCAGTTTGGTTCTAGTAGTGTGTGTGTGTGAGAGAATGTGCTTTTAAAGAAAGTTTTTTTCAGATTTTATTTCACAAAATACAGAACTTAACTAACCCTTGTGAAAATACTAAGCATGTGTGTGGTATCTATTCAAATGCCATTTTGAAGCAATAGCCATGTTAGTCTATCTCATGTGTTCACGGAAGTAAAGGGTGAGAAATAAAAGAAATAAAAGGCAAAATATTGCAATTCTTTAAAAATGAACAGGATACATTTGTCCTGTATTTATTTCCATTATGGTAAAATCATATCCAGGTGATAATAAAGTAATGGTGGTTCATAATGACCAGTATTTGCCCTCCCTTTGACAGAAGCTGACACTGTAATGAATCTGAATCTTTAAAGTGTTACAGTATTTTGCATTTTTTTCTTTTCTTTTTTCCCTTTACTTCAGCCAGCTATTCAAGTATGTAGCCCTTCATATGGAGAAGTGAAAAGTCTCCTTTTGAAACAACATAACAATTTTTTGATGTGAAAAGTTTATTTGGATAAAGGGGGAAACAGAATAAACAACAAGAAGCAAAGATAGCAGTCACACAGAGTTCAATATAAAATCAATAAAAGGCAGTCTAATGTAGCTAGTTACATATTATTCACTTGCATAGTGTATTGAGTTTCAGGGAATCTGCAGAATTCATTCTTGAGAGAATGGTCTGAGGGAGCATGTTAGAAACTATGAGTAAGTAAATTCTCACTTTAATGTGAATTATAAGTTCAAAATAAGCAAGTCTCTTAGGGGGAACTAATTGTTTTGCCCAGACAAGTGAATGATTTCTGATATCATTGCTAGCTAGCCAATCAAAAAAAAAATCACAAAAACAAGACCACCTTTGCACTGATCCTAAAATGCTTTCTCAAAAGAACTGGAGCAAAGTAAGAACTGGATAGAAAGATGAGGTAATAATTTTGGTGCATATTGGGAAACAAAGAGATGAGATAATCCTATCCAAGGATCCTAGCACAGGACCAACATACCAGGCTCTTGTTCCAGTGCTTTAGTATGGACTATGACTTGAAATATTATACTACTATAAATCTTAAGTGATGTTTTGTTTTTTTATGGAATTGTTTATTTTAGTGGAATGGAAGATTTCCTAAGCGAGTAGTTCTTGAAGCAATATATAAATACTTGAAGAAATAAATAAGAGTATGAATATATGTTGATTTTTTGCTTTTTAATTTTTTTTTAATGTTGCAGAGGACAATAGCGAAAGTGCAAAGCATCCTGCTCGGAGCAATGTGATTTCCTCTGACATGGACTATCGAGCTGGCTCCTCTTTTGAGCTTTCTCCTTCTGATAGCTCTGATGGGACTTATATGTGGGATGAAGAAGGATTGGAGCCCATTGGAAATGTCCATCCATGTGGAAGTTATGAGTCTTCGGAAATGAATAGTATAGTAAGTATGGTTTGTTTGTATTAATTCTTTGTATTGTGTTTGCAGTTCATGAAAAGGGGCAGAGAGAATAAAGAAATGAAACTAGAACATGTGAGATAATGGTATTGTAACCCCCTGATGCTTCTGTAAAGCTGGAACAACACTACCAGTTGTGAGCATGTACCAAATAAAGTATGACTACTTGGTTTTTTAAATTGTTAATAAATTTAGAAGTTAATAATTTAGCACTGCAGATTTCAGTAAGTTACATTATGAGGTAATGTGTAAAATGGTTGGTTAATGTGTAAAATGTCTTTATTTGAACTTAAGATTAGAGATCAGAATAGTTTCTGTTTTCTGCTTATAAAAATATTCTGTACCTATAGTTGTTTTGAATAACTTACTATAAGTACTTAAAAATATAAGATGTGACCGTTTTATATTTGTGGTGGTTATATTATCTATTGTGGCTCAGTAGCACCATGTTTTTTTTCTCTTTGCATACCTAGTTGCTCAACTAACAGGTCAAGAGGATGGTTACTTGGAGCATGACTAACTTGCAAGGCATAGCCAGAAGGAGGTGGATGAAGATAGAAAAAGTGCCTAGAAACTGTCCATTTCATTTGATGGCTAAAATTCTGTTGGCATAAATTTATGCTGTCCAAGTTGGAAGAGCTCATCATATGGCAATGGATAAATTACATTATATTAAATTGAAAATGTTCTATTTCCTCCCCCACATCCCCGCAGATTCTGAGGCTTGCTCAGGGTCCCTCTTGCCTTTGGGAAGTTTTTGGAAAATTGCAGCAGTAGTCGTGCTGCTGGATCATGACTGCCAGTGATGATGTGGCAGTGATTTTCCAATATTAAAGGCTTCCTTCCCCTGCCCCAAAGCTCCTAAAAAGCTTCCTAGAGGTGAAAAAGATTGCTAGTGAACCTCAGAACCTGAGGGGGGTAGGAAGTTTTTAGTTAGATTAAATTAAAAATGCCTACCAATTGGATTTCAGCCAATATGCTGTGATCTTCCGATAAAATGTGTGTCTGAAGGGGAATGCTGGGTATATTCTAAGATGCAGTCTGTATACACAGTAATACACAGAAGGTCTGGCCAGTGCTATATGGGAACTACGGATGTACAGTGGTGCCCCGCATAGCGACGATAATCCGTTCCAGGAAAATCGTCGCTATCCGGAATCGTCGCTATACGGAACGAAAAACCCCATAGGAACGCATTAAATCCCATTTAATGCGTTCCTATGGGGAAAAAACTCACCGCTATGCGGAAATCCTCCATCCAGCCACCATTTTTGCTGCCCGGTAAGCGAGGAAATGGCGCGAAAATGCCGTGGGCGGCCATTTTTTCCGGTGGCCGTTTCGGAACCACCGATCAGCTGTTTTCTAAACATCACAATGCGAAAATAGGTAAGCAAAATGCTTACCGATCATCGCAATGCGATTTTAAGCCATTAAAACCATCACAATGCAATCGCTTTTGCGATCGCAAAATTTACATTGCTATGCGGATTCGTCATCAAACGGGGTGCTCGCTCTACGGGGCACCACTGTACTGTAAAGCATGGCTGTACATCCTCTGTAATCTGCGAGAATGGTGTGGCTGATGCCTGTGCAGAAAATGTTCTTGGACGTAAAGAGATTGAAAACCAAATGGACTAGAGTAAGAGGAACACAAACTGCAGAAAAGTATAAATGTAATGGCCTGTTGGATCAGAAACAATAAGTTTTGCAGATACTTATTTTACTTGTGAATTGAAAGAAGAACATAGCGCAGTGGTTCCCAAACTTTTTCACTGGCCACAGCGTTGCCACTGTTGCGAACCCCGTGTCCCTTATTTATTATTCCCTCACAAAGGCTCGCTGGTGCGTTCCCTTTATGCTGCCACCCGTGGATTATCTGAATCCACAATATCATTAACATATGTCTGGACACTTGTCTTGCAAACAAACAAAACGTATTTATTGAAGTGAAACAGTATTTCAAACAGTATTAGAAATCTTTCAGCTGCCTAGAGTGGTCGCAAGACCAGATAGGCGGCATATAAGTAGAATGAATGAATGAATGAATGAATGAATGAATGAATGAATGAATGAATGAATGAATGAATAAATGAATGAATGAATAAATAGATAAATAAATAAATAAATAAATAAATTTATGTAAAAAACATATTCCCCTTAAGATGGAGTTTGACCCTCAGTGTCCCTTTCTGTAACCCATCACAAGGGGAATGAGACAATTTCTTTAGAAAGTATTGAGAGGTCCCTCAATTCTGTCCAAATCTCCCAATATTATATGACAGCCTAAATCCTTAGGTATCAAGCATTGGCCTTAGCCTATCAGTTTCCTCATTACTTTGTTACTCTTTGTTTACAGTTTCATAAACACATCACCAACCTATCTCTTTCTAGCCAGTTCTTTTTATCTCCTCATCAATTCCCTAACCAGTTCCTAGCTCATCCCTATCTCTTTGCTATCTTACTCCTATTTCTACCTGATTCCTCTCTGATCCCTATCTGACTCCTCCTTCAGCCAAGCCTCATATATCAATTGGCTCTGCCTCTCCAGCTCTCTCAGAGCTCATGCAAATAAGCTCTTGAGCGTGAGTTCAGCTCTCTCAGAGGCTCTTGCAAATAAGCCCTTGAGCGTGAGTGGCAGAAATGACAGGGCCAATCGCTACAGATACTTTGAGTTAGGGGGGATGGAGAGGGAAGGTGAAGCACCCCTGGCTGGGTTTGGTGGTGCCCCAGGGTGCTGCAGCACACAGTTTGGGAACCACTGATGTACCCTTTCATAAGGGGCGGGGGAGGCTTCTTAAGCAGAAATGATTTTGAGAATTTCTACTGATGTACCCTTTCTTAAGCAGAAATGATTTTGAGAATTTCTGCGTGATTTTGTAAACAAGTTCAGATTTTTCTCTCTCTCCTTCATGATATAATTTTGTGGCTTGGTTCTCAGAGGTTTTCATTTTTATCATTGATGTGTCTTGAGGAAGGTGCCTTGTAACCATATCTAAACGAAAAATATTGGCTAATTCTTGCATACTGATGAAAAAGAATAGTGTTGCTTCAGTCAAAGACTGGAGTACAGTATATGTAGATGACCATTCTCAGTGAGATCCAGAGCCTGAAGTCCTGTTGCTCAACATACTTAGTTGCAACTAGAGCTAGTCCATTGAATCAGTGGGATTTGGTTCTACTGATGCAGGAGGCTTAGTCTAGTTGCAGCTTAACTATGCTAAGCAAGAAAGTTTCAGCCAGAGTCTGCTTAGATGTCTGATTAGTATAGCTATCAAGTATTGATGAGTGTCAACAAATATTGTCAGGGAGATTGATTATAAGGCTTCAGACTTTCTTTTTTTATTTTTGGGCAACATCTCAGTCACAATGATAATAGGCTTATGTGATTCTTTTACAAAACAATATATGATGGACCGTCTTTAGATATCCTTGCAAATAATTGTGGTATCTAAAAAAAGTCTTCCTTTTGTGTACTCACTAATGATGAAATGAAGCTGAAATCCCTACTACCTGGGCATGCTGGCCAAATCTAGCTAAAATAGGTAACTGAAACATTAAAGAACCTGAAAATAATAAATTAGCAATTGTAATGAAATATAGCACAGCAGATGAAATAACAAGTGAACAAAAGCCAGACCTAAAACATGAAAGAGAGAGAGAGATTGAGCTCTATTGTTGCACATGGTGAAGACCAATCAAAATTGCATAGGTTTCAGCTGGAATCCGAACTGCAGTCACACAGGTGACCAGATGATATCCAGAACTGACAATTTTGCTGATTCGGTGCAAAGACCAAAACACATCTTTCCCGTATATTTGCCTGCAAGAGGTCTGGTGGCAGTATGAAGCAGGCCTATGGGAACAGCCAGTACTTTATAGTGTCAATCCTGCTTTCTGCTCAGTGTACACTTATGTCCAGAACAGAGACATTTTTAAGAGGCTGTACTGATCTGGCTTACACATTAGGCTACCAATAGTATAAAATACTGTTATTTGCTGTGGTGTTATCATTATTGTGACGGTGGCCATATAAAGTATAATCATTTTTATTTATTTATTTATTGTATTTATACCCCGCCTATCTAGTCATTTCGACCACTCTAGGCAGCTAATCATGTCCAATCTCAAGCACAACTCTTACCAAATTCTTATTGTGAGTGAAGGAGTGTCACACTGAGGTCCATAATGTTAGTTTTGATAATGCAAAGTAAATGACTCCCTGAACATTTGTAGTAAAGTTTGTGTTTTTTGCATTTAGTATTGGAATCCTGGTGTACAAAAAAAAGACAACTTTTAATCGCTTCCTGTATTTCCCTCTAAGTGGTTAGTTCTGATTTCTGTGGTTACAGTTGCTACATAAGACAAGCATGTATTTCCTCTTTTGTCAAGAGAGCTCTGGCAGAAAGTGGATGATCTTTAGTATTGTAGAAGAGCTGGGTGGTGGTACTTATCACAAAAACTGTTTAAAATATAAACAAAAATTGTCAGTGATGTGCAGTGTAGAGTTGGAAGTATAACTTGCTAGGCATTTTGATGCAGTGGATTTGGTTAAACTACAGGTGTAGTGAGGAAAGTGACTTTTAAAAGAATTTGTGGAGATGTCATATTAGTTTGTTGCAGCAAACATAAAGCATTTGCTGGATACAGTCTGCTCACTGGATGTTTAAGTATATAAATGTAGTATCAGCAGGGAGTGAACACTGATGTCAGTGACAGCGTGACAGATGTGCTGTACCTACATAGAATAAGCTCCAATTTTTCAGAGACAGATTCTGGATAAAGGTCATGCAGATTGAGGTTACTGATGGAGGCAAGATCAACACCAGAGTAAGCACAGGATCCTGGACATCTGTTGTTCCCCCTCCATGCCCTTTCATCCTTGGATTGTCAGTGGTGTTCTGGCATATATGATCTAGGGTGGTGTTTTAGTATGGCTACTGTCAGTGATCCTGTTGTTGCTCCACAAATGTCAGATATTTTAATAT